CAAGTCAATCTGATGCTCTATCCCGCGAATTGGAGGTAGCCCTGGTGGAATTTCTACTGGAAAAACGTCCTTGTATTCCTGCAAAATCTCAAACATAGCACTAGGAAGCTCCTGTGAAGGGTTAGTACTAACAAGGGATTCCTTGTACACAAACATAAAAGTAGTCATTTCAGGATCAAAGAGTTTAGAAAATTCACTGTGGTTTATGTAGAGGCTGTTGGCGACTTTCTCCTTCTCCTTGAGCTTCATTTGAATTTGATCTTGATAAATCTCGGTAGGCGTGAGAGGTAGGAGGGTAATTTTGCGACCTTTGAACTCGAATGAGTGCTTGTTGGTGTAACCGTCGTGTATCACCCTACGATCTGATTGCCACGGTCTGCCTAGCAACACATGACTCGAACCCATGGGAATGACGTCACATAGAATCTCATCTTCATACTTCCCAATAGATAGAGAAACCATCACTTGCTGAGATACGGTCAAGGCTCCACTGTCATTCCATTTGCCTTTATTCTCAGACACTGCTTTACTTTATGATTTATCACATTTTCTGAATTCCTCAATACCGAATTCTATCTTCTATTCATAATGAAGCACACCAGCAAATGGAAACCATAGTCGTAGATAGTGGATCCAGCCACACTATCTTAAGAAACAAAAGTTACTTCATAAACCTAACCTATCAAACCGCAAATATTAGCACCATCGCGGGTCCCTCAAACCTTATCGAAGGATATGGCCATGCCTATGTGTTGCTATCAAATGGCACACAACTTGAAATACCAGATGCTCTATATTCTCTTAGTTCGAAGAGAAATCTTCTGAGCTTCAAGGATATAAGACAGAATGGTTTCCACATAGAAACCCAAGGTCAAGGGAACAAAGAATCCCTCCTAGTCACTAAAACCGTAGACGGCCATAAACAAATCCTCGAAACCATACCCGCGCTCTCTACTGGACTTTACCATGCTAAAGTCAGTATGATTGAAGCTAATACCACTCTCAAAGCCCGGTTTACTGATTATACTATTTGGCACGACCGGCTCGGTCATCCCGGTGCAAATATGATGCGTAAACTAATTCAAAACTCTCAAGGGCATACCCTCAAAGAAAACCGAGCTTATCCTCAACACCTCATGTGCACAGCTTGTTCTCAAGGCAAATTGATCACTCGGCCTTCACCAGTTAAAATCTCTAAACAAACACTTCATTTCCTAGAAAGAATCCAGGGCGATATCTGTGGACCTATACATCCATCTTCCGGACCATTCCGGTACTTCATGGTCCTTATAGACGCATCGACCCGTTGGTCATATGTTTGTCTCTTGTCCTCTCGGAACCAAGCCTTCGCTAGGTTCTTGGCCCAAATCATCAAATTGCGGGCCCATTTCCCTGACTTCCCACTAAAGACTATCCGCCTTGACAATGCTGGTGAATTTACCTCACAAGCGTTTAATGACTACTGTATGGCCATGGGGGTAACCGTGGAACATCCTGTAGCACATGTCCATACTCAAAATGGATTGGCTGAATCATTCATTAAACGCATTCAATGGATAGCCCGACCATTACTCATGAGATCAAAGCTCCCGGCCTCAGCATGGGGACATGCAGTATTACATGCTGCTGAACTCATACGCATCCGGCCATCTAGTGAACACAAATATTCCCCATCCCAACTACTCTCGGGTCATGAGCCAGACATCTCCCATCTCAAAACATTTGGGTGTTCAGTATATGTACCCATTGCTCCACCACATCGAACCAAAATGGGACCTCAAAAAAGGATGGGAATATATGTTGGTTTTGACTCTCCCACCATCATAAGATATCTCGAGCCAACCACTGGAGATCTCTTCAATGCCAGATATGCGGATTGCCAATTCGATGAATCGGTATATCCCTCTTTAGGTGGTGAGACAAACAAGCTGGTCAAAGATCTTTCATGGAATCAAACATCATTAAATTGGCAAGATCCTCGGACTCTAGAATGTGATTCAGAGATCGAAAAGATTATTCATTATCAAAAGCTAGCTAATCAATTGCCAGATTCCTTTGCTGACCCGACCAAAGTAACCAAATCGTACATCCCAGCTTGTAATGCACCAGTACGAATAGCTGTCCCAACGGGACAGACCCAAGTTGCTACAGAGTCTGCACCACGTCTCAAACGGGGCAGACCTCTCGGTTCCAAAGATAAGAATCCCCGGAAATCAAAGAAAGGTGCAATAACCGAAACCGGGATTCCTGCAATATTAGACATAGCCGCGGCTGAGACTCAATCTAATGAACCCTCAATGGAAGTTCGGGACGCCGAATCTCCAGGTTCAGAAGATAACAATGAGATCTCCATCAATTACAATATGTCCGGAATACAATGGAATCGAAAAGAAGTCGACTTAAATGCACTCTTTGCATACAAAGTAGCACTTGATGTTGCGCTCACGCAAGAGGATCTAGAACCCACGTCAATAACACAGTGTACACATCAAACAGATTGGCTAAAATGGAAAGAAGCCATAAACGTGGAGTTAAAGAGTCTCAAACTCAGAAACGTGTTCGGTCCGATCATCCGGACCCCATCACACATCAAGCCAGTGGGCCACAAATGGGTCTTTGTGCGCAAAAGGAACGAACTCGGTGAAGTCGTTCGATACAAAGCACGGCTTGTAGCACAAGGATTCTCACAGAGACCCGGAATCGATTATGAGGAGACTTATTCTCCAGTGGTGGATGCAACAACATTCCGATTCCTCATAAGTCTGGCCATAAGAGAAAATCTTGATCTGCGGTTAATGGATGTTGTAACCGCATATCTCTATGGGCCCCTGGACAACGAAATATATATGAGACTCCCATATGGCATTGAACTAAAAGACAAAAATGCATCTCGAGATCAATACTGCATCAGGCTGAACAAATCCTTGTATGGACTGAAACAAAGTGGGCGTATGTGGTACAACCGCCTCAGCGATTACCTCATCAAAGAAGGCTACAAAAATGACTCCATCAGTCCATGCATCTTCATCAAGAAGTACTCAAACAAAGGATTTGTAATCATAGCAGTATACGTGGATGATCTAAACATCCTCGGAACATCTGGTGAGATCTCCCAAACAGTCGACTGCTTAAAAGCAGAATTCGAAATGAAAGACCTAGGCAAAACAAAGTACTGTTTGGGATTACAACTTGAGTACATCAAAGGAGGAATCCTTGTGCATCAATCGGCTTATATCGAAAAGGTACTCAAGCGATTTAATATGGACCAAGCTCACCCATTGATCAGCCCAATGGTAGTTAAAAGCTTAAGTGATGACCCTCTTAGTCCCAAAAAGGATGATGAAGAAATCCTTGGTCCTGAAAAGCCATACCTCAGTGCTGTAGGAGCGTTAATGTACCTGGCTAGTCACACTAGACCAGACATATGTTTCGCCGTGAACCTCCTCGCTCGGTATAGTTCATCTCCAACTCAGAGGCACTGGAACGGTATAAAACATCTCCTAAGATACCTTCGAGGTACTCAAGACTTAGGACTCTTCTATACTAACCAAAATAAAGATGGGTTAGTCGGCTTCGCCGATGCAGGATATCTATCAGATCCGCACACTGCCAAGTCTCAAACTGGCTACGTTTTTACGCATGGAGGAACAGCCATCTCTTGGAGATCAATGAAGCAGACACTCACTGCCACTTCATCAAACCATGCTGAAATCCTAGCCATTCATGAGGCTAGTAGGGAATGCGTCTGGCTGCGCTCCATGACTCAGCACATCCGCAGAGATTGTGGTATGGACGAAGACACACAGCCCACGGTGATGTATGAAGACAACGCGGCATGCATAGCTCAGCTCAAGGAAGGATATATCAAAGGAGATCGGACGAAGCACATTCTACCGAAGTTCTTCTCAACCTCAGACTGGCAGAAGGACGGCACTCTCAGCGTTCAGCAGGTCCGATCCAGTGAGAATTCAGGTGACCTCTTCACCAAATCATTGCCTACTTCAACACACCGGAAGCTCGTCAAACAGATAGGAATGTATAGACTTAGAGATCTGCAGTGATGCTACAATCAGGGGGAGTAATGCGTGTTGTACTCTTTTTCCTTCACCATGGTTTTGTCCCACTGGGTTTTTCCTGGTAAGGTTTTAATGAGGCAACATTCCCCAGCGCATTATCGAGATCTCGATTGAGTAGCTGGCCCGGTTCACTCGTCCAAGGGGGAGTGTTATAACACATATCATATATGGACTCTTATACCGGCTCATTAAGCCCATCAGGGCATTGTACTTAACCTAGATTCCCTATATACTCTATATATACATTCCAGTGATTAATAAAGTATCTAAGTTTTCACAACAGTGTGCGTATATTAATATTAGACGTAGGATTTTAATTCATTGTAAGCAAATTATTCCATTTTGTGCAAATGTCTTAAAATGGATATTGGAGTATTAGCTTCGTATTGGATTAGACGATTAGTTCTCGACATGCTTATGGCCCAATTTGAGAAATGAATTAGAAGCTCACATAATGATCACTAATGATCATCAATTTTCTCATTTTTAAAAAAGTTTTAAGAACTTTTAGCATGTTCAAACAAATAGATATATACTCTTCGTTACAAATTAAATTGTTTTAACTAAAATCGCAGAAATTAAAATGTCATATATTTTTTAATTTTATATACTAAAAACATCTAATATCTGACTTTTCAAAAAAAAAAAATCAATCAATAATGAAGTAAATAGCAAAATAGAAATGATTACAGATTATTAAGTAAATTTGATTTGCATAGCTACTTAGTTTTCATATATTATTCACGCCAAAAAATAAAATTCTATATAAAAGAAAACTTAAATGTCTAACAAATGATGCATACGCATCTCCTTGACTTTTGAGACGTCTATTTTCAACATACAGACAATTAGACCTTTACGGTATTTTTAGCTCGCTATCTTTAAATGAAAGACCAGTGATCCAATAAGTTCCATTATGGTCACTAAACATTCTAAAACATACAAATTAATTAGCCTATATACGTATATATCAAATCATAACATCGCGTAGATGCAAATTACAATTAAATAACTTATGAAACAAAAGAATATTAACATTTAGAACGAGAGAGAAGGTTATGGTACTTAAACAACTTTTGAACCACTAGGCATTTACAGGAACAGATGAGGAAGAAGAAGATGGTGAGCTGATGGATGAAACGCAGCCTTTAAGGCGATCTAAAATCGCGTTCTTTGTCTTCGTGAGGCTTGCGTGTGACGTCAAAGGAAGTCCTTCTTTGACACACTCGTCGTACTTCTCTAGAATCGCCACTATGTTTGAGAAGTCTGGCCGCTTCGAAGGGTTTTCCGACCAACATCTCTTGATCAGGTGAGCTAGCGCTGGCTGGCAGCTCGCCGGCAATGGCGGTCTCTCGTTCTGCTCATTTTAAGAAAGAAAGATTTAGTGATTTTGCTCCTACGTAAATAGTTCTAAGATGACTTGTAAACCAAGAAACCATAGTACAAAATCACAATGTAAATCACAAAAGCTACTTTACCTTTTCAGCGACTGCAAAAGCGGCTTGCACGGGAGTCATGCCTTGGAACGGAAGCAAGGCAGTGGTGAGTTCCCATAGAACGATGCCGAAGCTATAAACATCGACTTTTCTAGTGTAAGGCTTCTCTTTGATCATCTCTGGAGCCATCCATCGATAAGTTCCCATATTACCCTTGGCCTCTCTGCATTGGGTCTCAAGACAAGAAGTCCCAAAGTCTGCGACTTTCACTCTCATCTCGTCATTCAATAGTAAATTGTTGGATTTCAGGTCTCTGTGGATAACACCCTGTGAGTGAAGATACTCCATTCCTCTTGAGATGTCTAGAGCCAACCTCAGCACGGTCTCGATCGAGAGCGAGTAAGGCTCTTTCTTGTTAAGGTACATTCGAAGATTACCTTGCGACATGTACTCTGTTATTATGCAATATACCGGCGGTTTCTTGCACGCAGCAATGAACTATATATCAAAACAAGGAAATCATTAGCAGTTGAATCGATTGGAAAAGCTAAGGGAAGAAAAAATTTAAACCTCAAAATCCATAAACCAAGACCTATATGTATTTGTTCTGTTTTCTTTCTCCCACCAAGATTCTAATTCTTGATAACGAGGAAAGATTTAGACTTTGGTAAGAAGAGAGAGAGAATTCAGACCTGAACGATGTTAGGGTGAAAGAGACGGGAAAGCAGAGCAACCTCAGACTTAAACTGTTGTTCGAGCTTAGCCCTTGTCTCTTCCTTATGTGTCGGAATCCTAACCATCTTCACAGCGACGGCTCTCTGTTTGTAGATCCCTCTGTAAATCCGGCTGTGTGCTCCGGAAGCGAATTTGTTTCCGATAAAGAGCTGGGAAAGATCTGCGGTCCATTCTTCTCTTTCTCCTTTAGAAGCTTCCCATGTCTCCACGTTCTCTGACTCTAGGATCATCGACCAAGATTCCATACTGTCGAATCTCTTCTTCTCCATCGTCTCACTTTCTGCGTACCGGTTGGTTTTGGAGGAAGACGGGTTAGCGGATAAGGCCGGGAGGGAAGGCTCTGGAGGGAATTTGGATCTCAGAGATCGCCTGAGACGAAACGGGTTGAAACATGAACCAGACATGGTGAATCAGAGGAGAGTTTTCTTAGATCACAAGGTAGGGCTTGAAAACAGAGGATCTAGGGTTTTTTGCTAAACTGGGGTTTTCCTTCTGAAAGTATGAATAGATTTCAGGAAGTGCATGAACTGATTCAAAAACATGGGTTCGATAGGATCTCCCGAGAATATAGCCGCGGTTTCATTAATTTTCTCGGGCAAACAAAACAGAATCAGGGAAAAGGAAAGAGGATTATGTCAAAAGGAAGAGACTTTTATAGGAAGGAAACAGAAACAGAAAAGGAAACAAATGGACTTCATTTTGTTTTTTGCTTGGTAGAACTAAGAAGCTTTCCGGGAAAATTAACAAAGGAGGGAGGAAATTTTCCGGGGAAAAAGGACACGAGAAGACGGCAAAGCACCAGAAAGTTTTTGATACAAGTTGAAGAAGAAACCAAGTGAATAAGAAATGGATCCAAAGTAAGAGATTTTCAAAGGTTTCTCGTGATTGCTTCGTTCAAAAGTTAACCTTTTGAGAGAGAAAGAGTTATATAGTATTTCTCCTTTTTTGTATGAAGTGTTTTTTTTCTCTCTCGAGAACAAATCAAATCAAATCGTGTTCGGTTTGGTTATGACTATATATCGGGGGATAGTTAATGATTGGAGTATTATGGATTATTCGATACAATCGGTGAATGAACCGTTTAAGTCCATTATTATCCTAAAAATTATAGGACCAAAAAGATGTAGATTTTAGATGAAGGTAGACGTCCTAGGGGGTGTTATTCAATCATTAATTTAAAATGAATTTTCTATGTTTTATAATATTCTAAATTTAAAAATTGATATCAGTTTGATGGATTCATTTGTTTAGATTCTAAAATCTCTGTAATATACACTGGATTTTGATTCTAATAATTTACTCATAAAACTCTATTAAATTGATTTAAAATGACTTAATGTACAAAGATTTTAAAAATTATTTAGTTTTGAATAACACTGGATTTTAATGAAAGATTTGAAATCTTTATTGAATAACACCAAACTTTAAAACCTCTTAAATATGATTTACAATTAAAAAAACCAATAACACTTGATTTTAAAACATTATTTAGAATCATTAGTTGAATAATAGTGGATTGTGGTTGGATTTAAATTCTATTAAAAACCGTGATTGAATAACACTCAATATTTCCAAAGATTTTGTTTTTTAAGATAACCTAATCCTTAATTCTTGTAGGAAATTAAATATTGTTACCATTTAAATAGTTTACATAGTTAAAAAAAAAAAACGGAACCGATTCATAATTTAAATATGGAAAAAATATCAAAAAAACTTTTAACCGCAAAATAAACTTCTTCCTTTTTTTCGGCAAAAAATATATTGGTTATGTTAAATGTGATGTTAGATATAGTCATCGTACAAAACAGATGTTTACCACCGTGGTGGATATAAACAATTTGAATAAAAGCAATGGTTAAGGGGACCCCTCTTTACAGCAAAAAAATAACCTTGATTTACATGCACAACACAATAACAATTTAGATCAATATGATTATTTCCCAAAGGTAATTATATTTATAAACTAAAAACATTTTGTTTGATCATTACCAAGAAAAAAAAAACATTTGTTTGATAAACAATAAAAGCTAAATCCGAACTAGATTGTTTGGGAAGATGATATATAATAACATTGTAAAACAAACCAAACTAGATTGTTTTATAGTACGATATACATCATAGCAAATTCTAAAAACACTATGATTCGCAGTTTCGATCACGGTATCTAAATTTTGGCTGATTTGCAAACCTTACTAATAAATAACCTGTTTCATCTAAAAACGGTAAAGTTATATATACATAAATACTTTTCATTTTGATGGATGGAGATGATTTAGCAATGTGAATGGAAGCAACTGTCTAAAAGGCGAAATATTACAATTTGTAACAAAATCCGTGAGTGATGCAATTCGATGCCTTTTCGTACTAAATTATCATCATTACAGATGAAAATATGTTTACCAAGTGTCTTCTTACACGTGGCAATCCGTTAACGGAACCACGTGGAAGCTGTAGAGAAGCTTGTTCAAGTACTCGTTGACCCTACACCGGAATAAACTGGGAGAACACATAACAGGCCTAACAAATTTTGATTTTCTATTTAGCCAATTTTAAGAACTGGCCCACGAAGATATAACTGTTTTTCTATTGGGCTCAGAATTTGTAGGCCCATCACTGAAACGGAGGGTTTCTCTCGGTTCATCTTCTTCGGTTGAAGTAATCGCCTGAATTTGAGCATTATATCTTAGATCTATTTCTCTCCATTTCAATCTGAAATCTTTCTGTAAGTATCTGGATTTTTCTCAGTTTCTTTGACTCTCTGTCTCTTCATCGAATTTCTGGACTAGATTCCGAGATCTTGAAAGTTTGGGCTTTTCTTAGAATCAAGTGGTTCTGTGTTTTTCGAGGAGATTTGATATAGGGAATTCGAATTCGAATCAGGTCAAGATAGGTTCTAGCTTCGTTGACATTTTAACTTTTGCCATGTCTTAAAAAATTGGCTTTGGTTTTGCCATGAACAAAACAGAGAGCTTTACTTGATTTGTTGATAAACACATTGAAACTTGCTCTTAAAACACTTCTCAGATTATTATAATTATTATTATCTTCCATAAACATAAACACCCCACACTTTAAACACACCATTGACCAACAATTAATCACCAAGTTCTTAATTATATCAACACTAATCTCAGTCTTAACTTATTGACGAAATCACACAACACAAAAACCATCGTCTTCTTTTCTTTTGCTTCACTCAAACTCTCAACTCCGTTTCTTAGAAAGTCTCTACGGCTGCTGTTGGGTTCAGTTCTGTGACTGCAGAAGCATTCTTCATTGCCTCGAAACGTGGCTCCTTAGGCTGAAACTTGACCCCTGCGTAGAGCTTCATGTAGTCATCAAAGACAAAACTCGGGTACTCTGTTTCTTTCCCTACAAGCGATGTAGCTGGAGAGATCTCTGCATCGCTTCCTGGATTGTAGAACGATGCAATCGACATTCTGTTTCCCTCTTTTTGAGTCACCACACGATGCATCACACTTTTGTACTTGCCGTTGGTTATCACCTACACTCAATCAAGAAGATACTTCAGGTTAAACCTTAAATATAGCCCAAAAACAAACATTTTGAGAATGCAAATGTCGTTTTCGGTTTAAATTTAGACCGGTTTTGGTAAAGACATTTTAAGAAGGTCGTCTTCCGGTTTTATGCGGTTATAGCGTTCAAAAACCGTTTCCCTCAGTTTCATCAGACCAATACCAAACCAAAACCCAATTGCAATACCAAAAACATTGTTTCTTCTAGCAAAAAATCTTTTGAAAATGTGGAGTGAACATAAACAAACCTCAAGTTGGTCACCAAGATTGATGACAATGGAGTGGTTGAGTGGTGGAACATCGACCCAGTCACCATCTTTAAGAAGCTGGAGACCACTGACCTTGTCGTCTTGAAACAACAAGATGAGGCCTCCTGCATCAGTGTGGGCCCTAAGACCTTTGATCATCTCTGGTTTAGGACAAGGTGGATAATTGCTTACCTTTGTCCCAAAGGTTGGACCTTTTGTTCCATGAAACATTTTCTTCAAGTACCCTTTCTCTAAACCTAGATTCTCACACAATAAGTCCAACAAATCCTCTGCAAGATTTTCCAATCTCTTCCCAAAGTCTTTCATGGTCATCCTGCAAAAAACAAAATAGGTTAGACTTCAATTGAATATTTCAGTATTACCAAAAAAGAAATAGTTGTATTTCAGTATGCTTCTTTCCCCAAAAAGTGTTAAGTTCTTAGAGGGGTTTTTTGTCATTTATTTTTCATTAAAAAGAAAAAAAAAATAGCGGTTCTAATACTTACGATAAAACTGTTCTTTTAACCAACTAACATAGAAAAGTTTATCAATAAAATATTACCTAAAACCTTTTTAAGTTAAGGTAAAAGAGGTAGAGTGGATAATCAAAATTTGGATGCGATTTTGTTTTTAATGATTGTGGCCCTACTAAAATTAAAAACAAGCATTATTGGTACTGATGTAAGCTGAAATTATTTTATGGGTTAAGGGGGTTTTTGAATTGATGACTAGTTAACTGTTTTTCATAGAAGAACAAAAATATCACATATATACATATATATATAACATATGATTTAAAGTTGTATTTAAGAAAGAAGAAAAAAATACCGGTATTCATCAGACATATCAGGAATGTCGTTGAGATTGGATTCAGGGAGGTGACGAAGGTAGAAAGTGCTTTCCCAATCGACATCCTCAACTTCTGTCTCAAGATTATCCAAACCTTTGGACTTGAGCATGTCGTTGAACTTTTGTTCCATTGATTTCTTGTAATGTTCCTTTGTCATCTTCTCGACGTTGTCCATTAAATCATGAGGTAACCCATCGTTCACTATCTGAAAATCAATTCAACCCCAAACAAAACAAAAAAAAATCACATTACCATTTTAAAAAGCTAGCTATATACAATCATATACTAAAAACACATTTATAATAAGTTGTACCTCAAAGAATCCCCAATTCTCACAAGCATCGTTGATTAAAGCCATGGTTTGGTCTCTCTCTTCACCATTTAGCTTGGACAAGTCTACAACTGGAAACTTAATGTTCTTCTCCATCTCTCTCTCTCTCTCTTCTTTGAAAGTCTTTGTTTGAAGTAGCAAGTTGTGTGTGTTGTTGATTGTTTTGATGTAAAGCGTACTTGAGGGAATGAGAGAGCGTTGCTATTTATAGGCGTAAAAGAGGGGAAATAAAATAATAAAAAATGTAAGAAAATATGTGTGATAGTCTTAGATAAGATGTATAAAATGATTCATTCAAATAGATAACAATAAAATAAAGTAAAGTAAAAGAAACAGAAGTTCGTGGAGCATGTATGTGAGCACATCTATAGTGGCCCCCTACCCTCTTTTCTCTTTATGAGATTGATTCATTTGGCATTTTCCTTTTGGGTCTCTATTTATGAAATTCAATGGATTCTTTTTTCCTAACTTTTTAAAATATTTTTTTTTGAAATAATTAGAATGGTTTACAAATAAGAAAATTCAAAGGAGTCTATGATACTACTTGAGTCAATAGTTCGCATCATAACGAAATAATAATGAATAGTTGTTGAATAAAGGAATCTATTGCTATCACTTGTACACTTGTAGTCATCTTCAATACGCTGAAGTTGGAAAAGTTCATCATCTCTACCGCTAGTTTAAACAATCAAACAAATATATCGCTATTTATTACTTCAATCTATGAAATATTTTCTAAAACCGCAATAGTGTAAAATTTTGATACTCAAACGTGTAACATTTTAGAATATAAACTGAAAATTAAATATTTACATA